CTTTGAACGTAATTCATATTGGCTCCAGCTGATGCTAGGAATTCACATGCAGTAGTATCACCTGAGAAAAGTTCAGCGTTTTTAAGCGATAATGCGTACAGCTTTCCATTCTCATATATTCAGACGGCGCAGTTCGCCTGGGTGGGGGCATTCTGCCCTTTTGCTATTCCTTATTGTGCTGCCGAGCCATCAAGAAGAGATTTGTGAAATCTTGTCAAGTCGTGAAATAGTAACAGTTGAAGTTCGTAGGGACCCCCTTGTCAAAATTTTGTAAAAGTACATGCCAGCTCTCGAAATAAAAATACCTGCTCACCTCTCGAAACGCAATGAACACGGCAATGGAAAGCAGAGAAAGTGCAAAAGGCCTCCTCCTAGCCGAACTGCGTCGCTTTGACAAGAACATAATGAAGAAGAATGAAAACAAACCTGCCTTTCTCTATCATCCGCATCAGTACAGATCGGCCTGACTCATCAGTAAAATTGCAGTCTGCATTTTTCTTTAGAAGTTGGGACGCAATATCATGGTGGCCCAAAGTCAGAGCTAACTCCAGTGCGCATAATCCCTTCTCGTCAGCAGCATTAACGACGGTGTGGATCTAAACTCGCATATTGTCTTGAGAATAAGAAAAAGGAAAAAGAGTGAGCTATTCCAGAGAGCAGTTGGGCCGCAACGGTGGTCTGCGTAGAAGAGAAATCCACGACTCGGGAAAAGGCGAGTTAGCGAGAATACGCGATTCGATCAAATCCCATCCCTTGTCGCCGAATCTTCCGGATGGCAAAGCCCCAGATCGATCCCTGTTAGTTCCTTTTCGTGCACACTCCCCTGCCGCAGACTTCCCATTTTCAAAGTATAAGCGCGCTCTATGTGCTCCAAGAGCATATGGCCACACCACCCCCCCCCCCCCCCCTTCGGTCCTTCCATCAAAGACGATGACGATAGCCGCCCGCCCAACATCGTGCCTACTGTCTTCAAAGCAAAGAGCTCTTTGCAAAAAAAGCGCAAGAAACTCCTGCTGCTACAATACGCGGAACAGTCTGTACTCTTTGATTTGACCTATTGAACTAAAGAAGTGGGTAGAAGTCGAAATGCAAAGGCGAGCCCTTGGACGAAGTGCTATTACCTTGGAATCATTTTCGATGAAGTATAAGAGAAGAACGTCTTCACGATTGAGCTGGACGATAGAATGAAGAACGTGAGGCGAATTCCTGAATAAACAAAAATCGTTTTATTGCCGAAACAAGCTTATGTTTCTCGAAAGAAAGGCTACATAAAGGAAAAGTTCATCAGCGAAATGAAATAAGAAGCAGTTCTTTGCTGACTTCATCCTAGGGCTCTCTAGTGAAACCGCGATAAAGTGATGGTTCGGGCATTGAACAGTATGTCCCCGAGATGCGCCATACATCCCAGTTATCTTTGTAAGCATTTGAAGGCGATCAGTCCTATACCATGCGGCGAAGACTATACCATAGCTTGCAGGGTGGATAAGTCAGAGATCTTATCTCACAGACGAATCTGGTACCATCAAGCCGCCCCATAGGGAAGAAAGCTTTGTTGGTCTGATGGAGCCGATCTGTGTGCAGCGATGCGAACACGTTGGATTGAGAAAAGTGGTGTAAGTGACAATATCTTACCTCTTCAGTAGACGAAATAGGGAAGGTGCTGACAAATGCGAGAACTGCTGTGGCTTGAACTCACTCCAATGAGCAGCAATTATAGCACAGCAATAATCGCGCAATTCCACAACACCTTCTATATCGGCAAAATCGAACAATGAAATGCAATTTTTCACATCCACACGAATTTTCAGCAACTGAACACACCTAAATAATTTTCTCTCAAAAATCACTTTGGTTTCTTGAAAAAACAAACAAAGTACAGTCTTGTTCGTTGCGAATGGAGGGGCGTATCAATGAGGCGGGATTAGGTGCGACATTAGCCCGTTCTACAGCAGTTGTTCAAGCGGGTCAGCGACAAGGATTGGTGGAAAATGACTTATACTAAAGATGTGATCACAAGTCATTGTGGTTGCGCGAAAGAAAAGGAAAGAAAAAACGGGTTGACGCCGGGCTAAGCCCACCCCCTTGTCACGCCCCATTATCCGCAAAGAACAAGACTGAACTGAACTGAAGAGGGCAGGAATTGCTACCTTGTTTGAAGGCTGCTAAAATGAAATCGGAATGCAATTTGACACACTTCCTGTAGAAGGTCAATGTCGAGCTGTGAACGTGGAAGGCTATCTGTATACATCCATCGGTAAACAACCTCAAAGGCCTTGAAAGAGGTGTCTGCAAACGAACAGGATTGAACGAAAATGAAAAGAACGCTATGAAAAGTGTCAGAAAAATAAGTTAGCGGCAAGGATGCCATAATGGTGAGCTCCAGTGAGTATCTAAAGAGCTAGTAGCCGTGGGGTTTTTGTCCTAAACATAGTTCCTCTCTACCACATGTCTACACTGGTACAACGAGTGCCAGCATTTGTAAACCAAGAGGGACATGCTGGCACGACTTCCTTCGCCATGATCCTTTCCCATATTCACCAGTGCCGCAAAGAAGGTGCTCACTGCGAAAAAAAAACAACTGTGGGCAGGAGAAATTTCTACAATAGCGGAACTTCTTTCTAAAATCCGTTCGGTGGAAATAAGGCATCCGTTCTAAATCAGAAATATTGAAATTACCGTATCGAGTAAAGAGGAAGAGCGGGGAAGAAGGAAGTTCTCGAAAAGCGTAAACGCACCCTTCCCCCACTTCAGATACTCCTCATTAGCTGCGTTTTGAGGAATTCCCAGATCATAACCTGAAAGGAACAGAAGCCACACATCATTGTAACGCAGTTCGGCTACGGAAGGGGGGGGGGGCAGTTCCGGTTTACAAGTCTGACTTTGGTGAAACTGGTGAACTCTTGTAAATCTCGAGCAGCTCGCCTAGCCACCATTGCCACAATGTTAGAACCTGTCAACCCTTGTAAGCATACGAGATGGTTCTCTAGATGAGTCGTCACGTCGATGGGAAGCAGCAAAAGTGCAAGTGCCCCCCACCCCTTCTCCCCTTGATGCTGAACAGCCAACGCTATAGTGAAACTGTAGTAAAAAGTGAACTCGAAAAAAGCACTCCACATTTGAGAGGCAGCAATAATACACCGAGAGGAGAAAAAGCAAAAATTCCGTGTCATTCCAAAACTCTCCCACAACCATACTCACTAATGTGCAATGCTTCACCCTCTCCCGCTCGACGGTAAAATTTCAGCGAAATCTGGAAGTTTGCGAAAAAAGGTGGTCGGAACTTCAGAGAGAGCTGGGAAAAGTCGGTAATCCCTTGACCCGTTTCACTGATTTAGGGGGAGGATCCTACCAGAGGGTGGACTTTGACGGGGTCGTATTTTCAAAATATTTTTCCCAGCGGCAGGAATGCCCTGGTTACAAGATGTCAAGAACGAGCTCCCCAGTTAGGTGTAACCACTGCTGCCAACGAACAGAACGACAAGACCACCATTGACTATTACCTGGAATTTCAATGAAGTCCGTAGATTCGAGATCGTTCCAGTGATTGCTTCTAGCTACTAGCAGAAACTTGTGACATTTGAGCTCACGACCACCTACACGGATGACGATATCACTGAAAACAGAACATTTTCATGTTGAAATTGAGCCTCCTTTTGACTCAAAGCAAACATGGATGTTTTTGCTATGGAATGAATTCGCACAGATGCACCACAAAGCGGAACATTATCGCCATGACTTCTACAATTTTACAAAATCAGAACGACTGATTCCTGTAGGGAGAAAAATCATGGCAAACTGTTACGCCAACAGTCCCAACACTATAAAAAACTTCTGGACTCCATCAGAAGCGAAAAAAAAACCGAGAATTGTTTATCTAAAAATCGCGAATACTAACCTGAATGCATGGTTCTCGTACAGGTTTCTTCATCGTAGCACACAGTTGTCCAGCCAAAGTGGAGCTATCCGGGACTTGATCCGGATCAACTTTGCTCTGGAGAGCAGCGTATTTCTGTTGGAGATCTCCATACTTATTAAGTAGCTCAAGGTGCTCCTCACGCAGCAAATTCAGATGGTTCACTGAACCCATCAAACGAAGTTCACTGTCATCTTTTGACCGGTGGATGTCCTGTACGCAATTTTGCGTGTCGCACTCCCATTATTGCAGACACCGGTTGGATTCTTTTCAAAATTTCAGTCCTTTCACGATTTTGTTTTCTTGAATGTTGGCTTTTTATGGGCCCTTGTCGTCTTCTTTCAACTCAGTCCTTCTAGCTCATACATGATAAATGGCCGTATAATGCCAATGCCGTCCGTTCACTGTTCATAGACGTTTTCATCACCGTTCTTGGCCCAATGATTCGCGTGTTTTCTCCATCTGCGCTCGATCACGACAAAAGATAGTCACTGTTCAATACAAGATAGTCACATCACCCGGCTTAGCCCGATATAAAGCACTTATTCAAAATGGTGCATTTGGTTCTCGCTCTTATTCCGCGCAACAGTGTTTATACTTCGCCCACGAGCGACCAGTCACTCAAGTCGATCGAATGCGACGGCGCTTCACCGCTTATCATTGGACCTCTACAACTTCTAATTGAATCGCACGTGTCTCAACGTTTTTAACGCTTACATAGTTGGGGAATACCAAACGGCCCTGCGTCTGTATCCCTTTCCCAAAAAGGCTCAGACTCAGAGTACAGACGACCATAGTCGCCAAGGAATAGTCATAATCTAAGTCTAGGCCTCGCTTAGAAGAAGGGATACGGAGGCGCTGGCGAAATCCCCCTCCCCTAGCCAGCTTAGCGCCCTTCCTTGGCCATGTATCTATTCTCTTTCGCTGAGTTCATATCCGACGGCTAACCTTTGCTCAGCCTCGTCATTAGACAGATGGCTGAAAAATGCTTTATTTCAATGCAACTGGATTGTAAGTGCATTAGCGGCGGTGGAGCGTCTCCGGAGTAGTCGCTCAAACTGCGAACTGCACGCGTATGTAGTTGGACACACCCTGGGCGGGGTATCGCGTGGAAAAAAGCAGAGTATTCGCTAACTGACTCGACACGCCGCAGTGATGTCACATTGAATCATTTGGGTCCCGATGCGAATAACCATTTTCATTTTTCTCCGCCCTCGGAATGCGCTGAACTACACTCGCGAAATGTGAACGCACCCTTATAGTGCCCGAGATCTTGAACGCTAGCACTTTCCTAACGTAAGTCATCAACGTAAAACCACAACATCACCACAACGAATTTAAAACAAGCGCATCAACTGATCTTCATCGGTAATGATTGTAAAGGCGAATATTTTCGCCCTATTTTCGACTGCTGGAGCACCAGACTGGACAGACTAGTTTTGTGTAAGCATCTCGCCATAGAAGACTTGCGCTCCAATGGCCCGGTTATAATTCGCCATGTTACATATGTCTGATTCCAGATATGAGATGTTCTCAAATGGCCAGGTATTTGCGGAACATCATGCTCTCAACGGGCTTCCGCAGTTAGCAAAACTTATCCGAGGTGTACTAGACAGGTCATTAAAGAAAGTTAGCGAACGGGATGTGAGTTATTTTTATATGTAGGAATTTTTTTCTGGTTTGTTTTCATCTTTGGCTTCCGGTTCTATGCACTTGTCAGGCTGCCTTCATTCTTGAGGACCTGAGCCGATTATTCGTTCAAATTTAGCCCAGCGGCAACGGGGGCAC